GGTGTTGTCTGCAAACTTACTGAGGGTGCACTCAATCCCCTCATCCAGATCATCAATAAAGATATTGAACAAGACCGGCCCCAAAACTGAGCCCTGAGGAACACCGCTCGTGACCGGACGCCAACTGGATTTAACTCCATTCACCACAACTCTCTGAGCTCAGCCGTCCAGCCAGTTTTTTACCCAGTGAAGAGTACACCTGTCTAAGCCGTGAGCCACCAATGAATTTGAAAAAGAAAGTTGATTTTCCACTAACACTTCAAATGCTCAAAGAAAAGCACACACATTGCACAAAGATAAGCAGGGCAGATAATGGAGTAAAGAAAGGTCACAGGTTGCAGGAAATCCTCCCAAACAGAATTTCGTGGAGGAAGAATCCCAGGAGGGTGGATTTATAATCAGTAAACTTAGACTGAGGCACCTTAAAAAGAACTGGATTAGAAGTGGCTGAAGAGGACCAAAAGCCTGGTCCTCTTGCTGTTTTTGCAAGTGGTAATCTGGAGGAGGGCTCTAGACCAGCATGACCATAACCCAGACAAAGGAGCTGCTTCTGCACTGAGCCCAGATGGGGTGCATGTAGAATGGACTGTTTCTGCTGCTGCAGATGGCAGTCAAGGTTAAGAGGTGCCTGGAGGCACGTTAGGCAACTATCTAGCCTGGAACAGGAGATGACCTCTCCAGAGGTCTCTTCACACCTGACAGGGACACAGAATGATCATACAAGGATCAAAGGGAGGGTAACTACTGGGCAGGACTTTCTGGATCGATACTAGGTGTCTGAATCACAGATGAACTTCAAGAGGAAGCACGACCATGAGCAGAAGTTTAAATGATTTTAAACAACATAACTCAGTAGCTTGAGAGGAGTTACTTGAGACTGTCTCATTTGAGAATTTCCACTAAAGGTCCTGTAGAGCCCCTGCCCTCCTTCAGAACTGCTCTGAGATGAGGAAACACTAGACAAATGAACTAGTATGTACTGTTCCTCTCCTGCCCAGGGTGCTTTTCCTACCTGGGGCTATTAGCCTTATCAAACCAAGCAGTAGGCACAGCACCTGGGATCTAGTCACAAACCTGCTGTGGTTTGACCTGCTGAATGCCAGGCATACATTCATTCTCAGATATTTCAAAGATTACTTCCTAAAGGAAGCAGTCTTTCACATTTCCTATTTTGGAACAAACTTCCAAAGGACTTAGGAAATAAAAACCTGTTTTCCCCAAGAAATCAAGTACTTCTCGGATGTCTCTGGCACATACTAGAAACCAGAGCAAGGAAAAAATGGCAAAGAGTTGCTTGTAGAACTTAATCTGCCCAAATGCAACACTGGTCCAAAATAGCTATGCAAGCCTGCGTTTCTGGCACAGAATCCAGGGTGAAGGTTTCCTTTTGCTAGATAGGGTAGGTCACATCAGCACCGGAAACCTTCAGGATTATCCCCACCTACACACGATTAATCCTGTAAACTTACAGAATTATCCACTGCCAACAGCATCTAAAGATGCAACCTTACAACAGCAGAAGGAATCTCTGAGACATACCTCCCTCTTTCTAAGTTCAGTTTTGCATATCCCAAGCAAAAGGGCTTTCCCCTCCCCTCTTCCACTACCCCCTAAGTCTCATATGCTCTCACAGCTCTCACATTTTTCCTTAAATGTGCCCCCTGCCCACTGCTACACCCTGCAACTCTACACCTGCCCTTGGATTTCCAAACACACCTCTCTGTCTTCCTTCCAACTGCACTCAAACTGAAGGAAGACCCCATGCCTTCCCCTGTGTATCTCCACTCCATTCATGCAGACAATTGTCCCAAGCTCCCAAAGCACAACAGGGTAGCTAGATAAGGGCTATGAAAGTCATCCTCTAAAGCTTTTCACAGGTCACCCAACCAAAAGCATACGTCTAGATTTTCAGCCAAATGTGCCAGGCAAGAAGCATTGCTGTTCCTTGGAAAAATCTCTTTTGTGTTATACCAGTTCTCCAGAATGGCTGGCTATCTGCAATGAAGTTTCAGGTTCCTACTTCATGGGGAGGTGCCCTTACAGCCAATGACAAAAATAGATGTCCCTGCACTCTGTTGAATTGTTTGCAAGTTTCACTTGGCTACGACTCAGGATCTCTGGCAGTATGGTACAGACTGGCAGGATGGGATTGCTAGAAGGGGAAGTAGCCTCCAAATTGGTTATGTCTACTAATGGCAAACTGGTCATCTCTGGCTTTCAGATGCTGTTGCTCCTGCACCACTCAGATCTCCTAAATGAGCTGGGAAACAGCTGTTTTGCACTGTCTAACACCATGCTAGAAGCAACAGCTCTTGGAAGACACAGGATTTGTAGAAGTGTGGAATACCATGCCATTGCTAGGGTAACAAGAGACAATCCCAATGACCTTGCATGGCGTTTGTATATTTTCACAACTCTCCTCTTCCCTTAAAGGAGTTGCTCCTTGCCTTTTCTGAGCTAGACTGTTTCCTGAAGCTGGGCCAAGAGAAGAGCTGCACAGTGTTTGCTTTCTTCCTTTGCTTGGAACCTCTTCTTGGTTTTGCCACAGGTTTATTCACAACAGCACAACACAAAAACTACGATGTTTTTTTCCCTTTTCAGGATGGCCTGACCCCTGTCTCTGTTTCATGGTGAACAGGTTGTACTGTTGTTCCACCTGATTGAATCTCAGAGCACTTCACAGATATGCATGGGGTTTCCTCCCAGCACTTTCTGGGAGGTAAAGGAAGTGAAATTATCAAATTTGATAATTTGATAAATTCAAATTGATAATTTAACTTATCAGTTTGCACACAGAGGGAAGATAAACTATAGAGACTGGCTGTGGTAATCTGGCCTGCCTTGTATTAAAGTCCTGACTACAGATCAAGAATGATCTCTTCCAGCCTTATAAAAAAATTGACTTGCCTTTTAAACAACACTATGTAAACTTCCAGTTTTCTTGGTTTATTTTTCTTGCTTTTTTTTTTTAATTTATTTTCCCAAAGAACTCTTTCTGATGGCCATTATCATCAAGTTCATTATTTGCTGACTAAAAGCTCCCTGCAGGGCTGGATTATAATACCTGTCTGTGGAAGAGGAACATCAGAGTCTAGGGTTTTCCAAGAACTTATGATCAAGGCCCCAGATTCTTTAAAACTTCTTAAAGCCTTAAGAATCCACTGAACACTAAAGGGTTGCTTGAGGAATAAGGTATTTCATGAGGTGAGAAGGGACCTCAACTACTGGCTCATATTAAAAGATGAGAGATTTGGTTCTTCGGAAGTCTAAACATAGATATAAAGTTGAGGCAATACATGTGCCATTGGGTAAGCTTGGGGGGCAGGAAGCATCTGTCTGTCTTTTGTACCATTAATCTAACTCCTTGTGTGACCCCACAGCCACTTCTCTGGTATAACAGCTAGTATTACACTAAAAAGCTACAAGAGCACGCACTCTACGGCCTGTTCCATCATTCTCCTAACATCCTAGTTTGCACGAGATAGAAAGCTAGAGACCCCTGCTCTTCAAAGCTATTCAGCTGCCTTATTCCATTTAGCTCTGAAAGATCTAGGTCCACCCAGCCATATGTGCTGCAGAAACACACCCATCACCCTGTTCACACCTGCTGGAGATTTATTCTGCTAAAAAAAAAAAAAAAGAAGAAAAGAATGTTACAAAGCATCATTCCATTGTGAAAAAAAGATCCCAGTGTGGGGGAGAGAGGAGGGAGGGAGAAATCTACAGCAGAGCTAATACAGCCAGAAAAAATGTGTTCTTTGAGGCTTCCAATTTTCCAAATTAGAAAACAAGTAGGTAGATTCTCTTGGAACAAGTCATGGGATTTACTCTGTGTTGGTAGTGAAATTCAGCTGCGTAAATGTAACACCAAGAATGCTCTGACATGTAAGGTTTCAGTCACCGTCAGTTCCCCAGGTGGACTCAGATAAGCAAGTATTCACTGCTATTAGAAGATGCAAGTTTCTCAATATGGCTATTAAACTCCCTAGTTCTTACCAACCTATGCTTGATGACATAATCTCCGCCTGATCACCCAAATAACGGGAGGAACACCTTTCCAAAACACGAAGAGACTAGCATATTAACAGAATCACAGATGTAGAAATTGTGGGTGATCTTGGACCAGTCTCGTCTCATCTCAGACTATCCCACCATCTGATAGTATGGTGGAATGTCCGAGATAGTATGACGTGACCTGGGCATGTGAGACAGCTCAGAAAGGGACTCACAGGCCAGAGAGGTCCTATTTGCCTCATTAACCCTGTACTATTTCAAAGAGCTCTGCAGGATTGATTATTCAGGCTCATCCAATGGCCAGGACTCCGGTTTTTTCAATGACATGACACACACAAGTGGGTGGATGGTGACTTTGTTGCCCCAAGCAGATTACACTCAGATGCGGTTAACTGATGAGCTGCTCGGAACAGCTTTTCTTCAGCAGGGTTCAGCAGGGTCTCAAGGGTGCCTTGATACCATCTTATTTTGGTACGTGACTGAAAGGCACAATTATCGCAGTCAGGGGAGAGAGGTATCTCTAGGGGGCAACTCCGAGAACTAAGTCAAAAGCCTAAGGTATCGGGTGCCAATAGTCCTTCTTCCTATGCTTTTCACCAGTGCCTCCTCCATCCGTCTACAGCCAGAACAGTGTCTAATGAGAATGCAGAGGTTCAGTCAGTTCCCAGCGTGAAAAGCTTAAAATATCGATATTTTTTAAAAATAAATAAACAAATCCCTTCAATTCTTTCCTACTCTGATGGACTGCAGATCCAGCTGGGAGAAAAGAACCCAATTTTGAGATTTTAATGAAACCTAAAAAGTGATCAGATCCTTACCCTGCCCCAAAAGAGATTTTGCAAAACTCCTAAAGTTCCACAAACACTTACGCTTTAGAGTAGTTCAGAACGAAGTCAACTCCTTTCTCGTTGTCAAACTGGATGTCACGAGGCAGATCACTGTGAGAATGGGCATCAATGCTCAGGGGAAAGCCCGGATGCCACTCCTTCCAGCTGAGAAAACAAGAGAGGTTGGATTAACCATATAACCTTACCAGCACGAGAGCTGTGTCATTCCTTTACCTACACTGCTCTGTGACTCAACTCCATAAAGTAAATTTGCAGCAGACTCATTTGGGCCAAAAATAGTGACTTACACCGCATCAATACCTACCAGTACCCTACAGAATCCTGAAGTACAATGGAAGGCATCTACTTGGCCACCTACCTTCACAAAACTTGAAGTAACTTAATATCTGTGGTATTTCCAAACACTTGTCACGTTTGGCTGAAATTGGCTGTAGCTTCAAATGTATTGGGAGGGGAGGGTACAGAGAGACAGACAGCTGCCCAATGCACACCCATTCTTGAGGCTACATTTTTGCAGAACTGAGATACAGCAGCCAAAAGTATTCAGACACGTATTTAGGTTCCTCCAAAAGGCAACTCTCCAAGAGGTGCAGATAGTCTTGATTCAGCTCCTCAGAAGAGCCTTACCTCCTAATGGTCATGGCACACATTCTTTGCCATGTATGTTCTTGCACTGTGCCCCATTTTTACTTCAAAACAAAAGAAGGTGATTTGTAAAGAATACTGTTTCAATGGTATTTCCAAACTGCCTGCCACACACAGACTGCATTGTATGTTATCAGTTACGCATCTGAATTGTAAATAGCTATTTCCCTGGAATTATAAATGGTTTTGCCTTCCTTTTTGCATACGTAAATAAAATTTTGTGCCACACCTTTTTGAACTATATTTTCCTCTGCGCTATTTCCCACAATTTGTAAGCAAGATCCTTTCTTAGTCAAATGGTATCAACAACATATACACCAAGCCTCAATCCATCAATTCTGAATGGACCCTCTGTCCTTCTGATCCTTACTCCCACGGTAGGGAGATGCAAGTGCAAGAAACTTTTGTTATTTTGACAGAGAGTATGTTTCTAGGAAGAGGAAATGTCTAACGCCTTCTGGAGTTACCCACTGATAAAAGATAGCATTTTCCCATTGTGACCTTGGTTAGGAAAAAATGTCTATGACAGTATAAAGGTGGGTATCACAACTGTGTTCTGACAGCACATTCCAATCCACTCAAACAGGGCCACGTCTTCCACTGCACCCCGGTGCAGGAAACAATTAAAACTAGCTTGCTGCAGCAGCCAAAAAGCTCTGGTAAGAGCTGACATGTTCAGATCATGTTCCAAAACTGGAGTGCTGCTTGTAAAAGGCAAATGAAATCTGCCTTCCAATCTTCCTTGAAAGCACAACTGTGTGCCAGAGGGCCCACACAGAGACTGTACCACTGAATTCCCACTTAAGCCTTCCAGATAGGCTTATCTGGGATTCAAGTATCTCGTAATGCCACTTGCACCAGGATGATCACCACTTACAGTGAATTCCATCTAAGTAAAAAACATATATGGCCAACATGGTAACTTAGCTTTCTCTTAACCAGCAGTCCAGTAATTAGAGCAATATGATAATGTGAACATACTCTGCCAAACTCTGACCTGACGAGGACAGGCCCTGGACCTTCCGGGGAGCTGTGGGAAACTCACCGGTATGTTTTTTGACGGGTCTCAAGCTCTTTGCGTCTGTGCTGCTTGAGAATCTGGGTCTTGTCATCCCGGGGGAGTTTTGCTGTGGAACAGGGAAAAGAGACAGGGTTACGAGGTTCCCCTACCTATCACTGCCCAGGTCTTGAGAAGGAGAGCAAAGTTTCCAAACCTTCAAACTTCTGATCTATACCTTTACAAAGTTTCCGTGGGAAATGCTTAGACGATCCAATTTAATACCTCAAGTAGAAACACAGGTCCCTAGAGAATTTGTGGAAGGAGATAAGCTCCTAACTTGGTCCCTCTGAGGGGCAATTAGCTCAAGCTAAGAACATCTGTCTCAACTGTATATAAAACCTGGATTCCTAGTGTAGGCACTTGCTGTACATATCTAGTGTTAAATGGTCTGAATCGGGTCATGGGAATTAATCTTACATTTCAGTATCTAAGGAAATTTTCAGCAACAGCAGAAATCACAACATTGTTCCAGCTAATCTCCTCTGCTAAAAGACGTCTCCAGGAAACATCTCCTGTCCTCTCTCCTTGAGTTGTGCTCTCCCCTGTCAGCTCGGGGCAATAATCATATTTTCTTATCAGGAGAACAGAAAGAAAAAAACAGTGAGGCTTCATTTCCAGGCAGCTTGCTCTTCTGACCGTGTATTCACTATACCGTTAAATAACACAGAGACTTCCTTACTGATCAGAGAAAGGGCAAGGTACGTGACTCGCTTTACATACACAAATGGGAAGGCAGGTAAAGCCAGGAGGAGTTTCATGGAAATAGCTGTTTGGGGTTTGGAAATATCAGAGGTAATACAACTGATAACATGTATCGCTAACGGCTTCCAGCTGGTTGTGTTCAAGTTACCAACAGGGTTTCACTTGCTTTTGTCCTTTACCTCACCATACTCTGAAAGCCACGCGAAGCTGCTTTCCATAAAAGTGTTACAGTTTTTATAAATCAAATTATGAAAAATGGAAGGTCCCTCTGGAGAGCAAAAATAAACTGACACATAGTTGTGATTACAGGACAAAAGGCTTCAAATGCAAAATTCCTCAGCCAGGAGCAGCCAAAAACTTCATGGGAAGATAAACATTTATTTCCTACCACTTCATATATTGTTTCAGCTGTTTTCAGGCACTCATGCTGCAGACCACTACAGCAGCCAACCTACCCTAGGAAGCACAGAGGGGAACAAGCAAACATCAGTGACAAATGTCTGCCCCAACCCTGATCACAGCAAGCAGGTAGTCAGAGACAGTTAAAACACAAATTTCAGGTCCAACAGGCCACTCTGAACAGAGCACAGAAGCGCTGTAACACTTTTCTCACGTTGGTCACCACTACTTGCAGCAGCCATATCCATCTCACCCTGCCTTCTCCTGGACTTGACAGCATGCAAAGAGAAGGGGTGAAAAGTGAAGCTGCTTTTTCAAGTCAGTCCTTGCACCTGCTGAGCAGCCTACTTTGGGATTTTATTTCACTCTCAAGAAAACATGACAATTTACAGGCAATTAATCATGGGCCACTTAGGGGCTTAGTATGAAATGAAGATGGGACACTAATTCTAATCAGATCAAAAGGGCTTCCAGCAATGGAAATGTGGAGCAGACAAAAATTTGGCATTAGGGTCAGCCTTCAAATTCAAGACCAGTGTAACATGCCAGCGTAAGGACTCTTCCTTGCATGTGCTTCCCAAAATATCCAACTCAACTGCCAGCGCCCAGCCCAACAAACAGCTCAGAAAGCAGTCCTAGTCAGCAGGGAAAGCCCATTCCCTGGGATGCAGAAGAGGTAGTGGGTCTCCATGTGAGAGAGAAGATTGGGAGGTACACAGGGAAAGGGGAAGGAGAGGTGGAAGAATTCTGGATGTTCTGCAGGAAATCAGGTTTCTTATGGCTCTCACCTCTTCCATCTCGAAGGACAATCTCTTTTTCATCTGTAATCCAACGGTAACATGGGAACTCCAAATAGTCACCCACTGGTGTTTTTACAGTGATATACTTAAGGTACCAGTCATCCTGGTACCAATATTTTCGTTTCTCAATTTTTATTAGCTGAATTTCTCCAAGGTCTTCTTCCACAGTCACATCATAGGAGTCAACCTACAAAGCAGAATACAGTCAATGATCCACTGCACATGCAGGAAGCACAACCAGCACTACACAAGCGTACCTGGCCTTTCCTGGTATGGCATGGGTACAACAGAATGTTCCAGCTTCTGGTGGGTGAGAAAAGGAATACCTATTATTGGACTACAATGCAGCAGAAAGATGAATAAAAGAACAAACAAGAACATGCAAAACACTCCAGAAACAGTGAAACATTTTTGTATGCAACCTAAAAATGATATTACTCCTTGAAATGTTTGCAAGTGTGAGGAAAAACATGCAGACCATGAAACCATTTACTGCTCTCCTAGCAATAGCTGAAAGAGGTATTGCTAGGGCACATCTATTCATGCAGCTGGAGTGGAAAGGTGATCATGAGATTAACACATTGGACTAGGAATCTAAAGACCTGTGTGTATTAGTCATATGTGCTTCAGACTAAGGACAGTATCCAGAGCACCTAAATCCCCCTTGTCTTGTGCTTCCTGTGGCTGGTCTTCTTCAGTTCTCCATTTTTACAATGAGGACAATGGTACACTATGTTTGTACAGCTTGGATTTGGACAATGATACATTTTATGTTTGTACGGCTCAGATGTACAAAGGAATTTAAGCAGCTAACTGAAAACAAGGTTCACAAGAACCACATCTAGCTCTGGAGGCACTTCATTCTTTCACAGAAAACAAGCCAGCATGTGGAAACGTGGTTTAGCTCCTCCTTCAGTTTGGAGTTAACTCAAAGGCCTGACTCCTGCAACATGGAGGGACCTCAGCCCAGACTTGCACAGTAGCTAGTCTGTTTAGTCCTTTCCCATGCTAAGGGTCTGGTCACAGGGTCTTTGCACTGAGCTGGTACTGAAGGCTAGAACCACCCATACCTGCTCCTTCAGGAGTGCCCTCATCAGTGGCCTACAGGGACAGGCCCCTGAAACCTTGAGTTATTGGCCATGCAATGATCCAGGTGAGGAGCAGACCAGTCCTGGTGCTGCCCCTACACCAAGCTTTGCTGAGGTGGGAGGGCTGCAGCTCTGAACCTGGTCAGGCTGAGGAAGCGACTGAATACCGCGCTTTCCCTTTCTTGATGACTGCTCCAGCAGGGCTACAAAAGAAGTAGCAGAGAACATTTTCTTCTCCTTCCATTTGAATTACAATGGCTTCGACTACCAAGCTCAGCATTTCTTCTATGTGGTAGGCCTGTTCTCAGCCCACATATGTGATTTGGCCTCTCAGGGCTTCACCATCAGATGGCTTGAAATGGACGTGGAGCCGCTTGGCCCACCAGGATGAGTGTATATGTGAGTACATGTAATAGCAAACCTTAGCTGCTAAGTGCTAGCTACTGAGGTGTGACGAGTGGCCACACTGAAGGCCACAGAGAACTAGTCACCTAGACACAACAAGATGACTTTGGCCAGCAAGGTAAGGCACCAGTTCACTGTGTAAATCGCCTCTCCCACAACACTGCCTTCAGTGCCGCAGCTACATGGCCAGGCCTGGGAGAAGGACACTTGTGGACATGGTGCTTCCCTCAGCACTTCTTGGCCATGCTAAGCACCCCCCACTCAGTACAACGGCTGCTATGAATGCTGACTTAAGTGCCTTGCTAAATTGCCTAACAGATTTAGGACAGTGAAGTCTTATCCCAGAGATGGGTACTTCAGTCCTCTCAGGACTAAATTCTAGTTAGCCCCCTTCTGGGGCTAACTTCTCAGGGATGCATGCAGTCTCTTATTGCATGTGGGGACAGCACCCAGCAAATGACAGTTCTGGCGGCACTTGCACTATTAGGCAATACCTGCGTAGGAAGAAATGAGTCATCATTTCAAATATGACCAGTAAGACACCAAGCGGTGCTAGGCAATTCAAGAGAACAGGAATTGACTCTCACTTTCCAAGAGTGTAGACAGCTCAGGGCAAACAGGAGTAGCTAAGTGCTCATCGCAACAAAGCTGAATTGGCTACGGCAACCATAGGAGCAGCAGCCAAAGCCTACTCCGCTCAGATGATCCTGCTAAGTTTCATGTGGTTACAAGCAGAGACTTCATTCTCTTGTGGTTTTTCTCAACACAGTCAACAATCTCAGAAACGAACCAGCTGCTGGTATCAAAAGGATGAGGTACTGCATCGACATGCTGCAGTGCCTGTAGAGACTCACCTGCCTGTGCGAGCTTTGTCAGTTGGCTCCTGACCTAGACACCACACTCTGCTTGTTCTTCTCAGGAGCAGTTTCTTAGCCTTCCCCGGGCATTTGATACATGCCCATTGTTACTGTCTTATTTGCTAGAGAAAGGTTAATTCACATAAGGACCAAAACCGAAAAGTGAAGAAAGATTAAATTCCAGACAGGAGAAAGGAGGAAAAAAAAGTAATTTTTAAATGCCTCCAGATGGCACTGGTCATTTCAACTGTTACAAAAGAAAGATTCATAGCAACTTGCACCCATGTGACTGGAAGAACGCACATAAGAAGGATCCCTTGGCATCCCTTCCTCTCCCATTTTAACCCAAGTTTCCCACATTATTGATGCAAAGTACCCTTTTCTATGAGCTATCCATGAATTACTAGCTGCGATGATCATTTTGGGATAAAGACATCTATCTGTCCACCGAAGTTTGGGATGACAGACCTCAGTTCTCTCATAATCCATTACATAAAAATACCAGCTTTCATAAAGTTTGTCACATCTAACTGACTCATAGAAGCCAGAGAAAAATAAAAAACCCTTTAGGCTTTGAAGTCTACCTTGCAGACAATGAAACATTGTCCTTGCCTGTCTTTCCCCAAAAATGTTCTTCAATCAACTTCGAAACTGTCAGGCCATGATTGCTACACTGCAACTCATACGAGGCTGTTTCATACTAACAAGGATATTGGAATTTCTTCTAATATGCAGCCTAATTCAATTTTAGGCTCAAATATTTAAAATGGGCATGGATGGTGCTTATTTTGATTTGCTGAGACTTAACAGACTAATCTTAGTCTGAGCTATATTCTCCCCATGCCTATTAAAGCAAGAGACACTGAACTGTTTCTTTTAGAAAGGAAGCCCATCATGTCGTAAATAAAAATTTGCAATGGTTATGTCAATAGCACACCCATACACGCCAAGTGGTAACAAACTGCTTCACAAATAGCATGGCGGTCCTTGGCAAGCTTGGGATGACAGCACCTGTCTGCTAGGATGTGAGCTGAGAGATGAAAATCACAGAGCTGAGATTTCAAACAACACATTAAAATGACGCTTGTCACTTTTCCTTTCATCTCCATAGCAGAGAAGAAATAGTTCTTTCTGTAGAGCCAATAAATATATTAATTTTAAACATTTTTTGAAAGTTTATGTTGCTGACTCTTCAATCCCTCCACCCCCCCAGACACTATCCCAGAACAGCTAAAAGGATAATGGGCAAAGGTAAATTCATTCCCTTGATGATTCATGATTTTGAACCAGCTATGGAGACTGAAAAATGTTGAGCGGCTTTCCTCAGAAATCTCATTAATAGTGCCCTGAGCCACAGCTGTGACAGTCAGTGACTGTAGGACATACCCCTGCGCTCCTGGCTAAGCGAATGGAGATTCCTCCCTCCCACAATGCTGGTTTCAAACACCACCTTGATCTTTGCCTGTCACCCCATGTCCAATATTCTCGGCTTCACTCGTCAGTTGGCACAAGGAATTCTGGATCATGGCTAGAAAATGCAGGTAACAGGCTCAGATTGTTTCCCATTCTTCAAATCTTCTTTCCAGAAATAGGCAGCACTTGAACCATTTCTATTTCATACTCATTTCCCTGCAAATCCTGTTTTTCTCAATAAAAACAGTGTCAATAAACTCTTTACCAGGCTCGAGTTTCGCACTGAGTCAGTACTTCTGCAATTTCGTATGTCTTTCCAGGACCAGATGGCACTTTGCAGAAGAGTCCCTCGTCACAGGCTGTCGTACCACGTACCTCAAACTCAGCCACTTCCTGCTTGTGCACCTCTTTATGCAATTACAACACAAAATGAATTCTCTCTTTCAATTTTACCGTGATCTTGTTGCATTTGGCAGTCAGGAGCTGGAAGTAGCCACCTTGCAGAGACACGGTCCGAACGAATCCACAAACCTATGTGAATTATTACCCGTTTGTGTTCATCACTATTTAAACATGTAAAGACTAATGCAATAACCTACAGAAGCAAATGATAAACTGCATCTGAATCAGATTCGCTTTGTATTCAGCTACTTGGGATTCTTATGCTCCATCTTCTCACTCATTTCCAGTGCCAGGGCTAGTCGTGTACAGAGGAAGAATAAGGTGACCAAAGACACTGTCTGGATAGGGGAAACGTACTGCATTATTTTTATCTCAAGTCCTCACAAAAACCTGTTGCTGTCAAGTGATTAGCATGGCACAGAAAGTCTGAAATTGGTCTTATTTTCTCATCAACTCCTTGTTGCCCAAGATACCCGACTATCTTTTTTTTTAATTCATGTCCTTTAAAGGTTCAGCTAACAATTTCATTTTTAAAAAATCCTCATTTACAAGTATATATTTCTATAGTTCTTATAATGTCACACCTATCTATATATACACATCTAAGATTTAAATTAAAGAGCAATGTGAATCAGATCCGAAGAGTTGACAGAAATGTCACATTGACAGCCAATCTTCGGAAGAAACTCATTCCTCTGGTAACAATCTCTTTGCTAATATTACAAGAGCCCTAAAATAGTTGCACAAGTCACTGTCAAGGTAATGCAAAAAGGACATTCAATTAGCCTAAATGTTCCCGAAGGTTTTTAATCTTTTTATGACCATCACAGTTCCCATTTTAATGGCACTTCTGAAAGTGAGGGTTCCCTCCTGATGTCTCACCCAGCTTTCGCTGCCCTCAAGCCAGCGACGCCACGGGCTCACCGGAGATGACAATTTTGCTAATGCAGTAAAGTTGTGTCAGGTTACAAAGATGGTACAAGGGCCAAGTAAGAATTGACAGTTGGTTGCTCAAGGTTTCTGTGGCAATTGTTGTACGAGGTCTCCTGGTAAACACATGGCATCCCTGATGACTGCATGGTGAGCCACAGATGCTAGGAGTTTTTACACAGTTTGAGTTCAGAGTGAGAAAACAGAATTAATGAAGACTATTGGACTGTCCAAACTCCTGCAGCATCCTGTTCAAGCAATTTAATCTCACGCAAAGCCTAAGCTCTTTCTTTTTGAGGAGAGACTCCTACTGACTAGCCTAATATTGCAAAAAGGACGACACAGACAACACCTGTTTCTATAAGCACAAAGCTCTAAGTGGAAAGACCTGTATTTCCCTTCTGGAAATAGTTGTGAGTGCGTTTCTTTCAACAAAAGCAAAAAGCAGATGAAGGGGTAACAGGAAGAAAACAGAGAACTGAGTGACACCATAACATTGCTTTGAAATCATTCAGCACCAACAGGAACTTACTCAAAAGACACTGCGTAAAGAAAAGCAGCTACAGCTTTCTACATCGTCTGTGTCCAGTACTTGGAGTAAGTCAGAAAAAAACTACAACTGGCCTACCATTGTGCAAATCCCTTCAGGTTTTTCCACGTCCCTTTCCCTCAATCAACATTTGGCATGCAAATCTCCTACTCAGAACTGGACCAAGCCCTCATTCATTGTATCTAGTAATACGCACAATTTGCATCAATTCAAATGAAGACATTACCAGGATAATGGAATGACTGAGCCTGGCCCAACATTTAGGAAAGAAACTGGAAAGTAGAAAAAGCCTTACAAGATAATACTGTAAAATTCTGGTCATCCACTGAAAAAGGGCATTTTTTTGCAAATGCGTTCACAATTGAATTGCTTTGCAGAAAAAGAAAATTATAGAGATGCTATTGAACAGAACGCTAAAGGCAGAACTGTGAAACCAGTTGCTACATTTT